CTAATCCAAGGAACCCACATGGTAGAAGGAGAGAACCACTCCCACAAGTTGTCCTCTGATGTCTACCTTCATAAGTGATATTTGTATACACCCCACCACACACACTCACACACACAAAAGCAAATAAATAAATATGGACTTTAAAAGACTAAAATGGGTAAAATAAGTAACTAAAAATGATAAGATTTCAATATTCATTGCTTAAAAAATATATAATCATGTATCACTCCTGTTTGAAAGAAGATTCTGTTAATAGCATGCAACAAAAGCAAAGTGAGGCACTTAAGAGATTATAAATTTTATTCAGAATCATTCATTTTAAATTTGATGCTCATTATCATAATTTCATGGTTTAAAGTGATTTTATAAGATGATTATGCCATATATTAAAATTTAAAATACTTTTATTTTGAATAGCAAAACATCTCTCATCTGATATACTCAGATTTGTTTGGGGGGGGGGAGTTTCAACAATTTTAAAAAGATTTGAAGTTTGTATACCTTATACTGTAGCCCTTTCATATCAGCCACTTCAGTTTTGCTTTTGTGTTGTTATTATTGTATTGGCTGGCTGGTGGGCTGGTTGGCTGAGATGGAGTCTTGGGTAGCTCAGGCTAGCCAGGATCTCCCAAATAGCCTACGATGACCTTGAATTCTGATCCTTATGTCTCTATCTCCTGAGTGCTGGGCCACTCCATCACCATGATGTCACATTGGGGATATAGCCTGTTGTGGGATTTCAATCTGTTTAGCCAATGACTTTTGGGGCAGCAAGCATGCTGTCCAATCTGGACGAGCAGAATACAAGGAAAAGTGACTGCTGAACCTTGCCAAGACAGGGAAGAACAGTCTTTCAAATTTTCCTGCTTCTGAAAATGGTCTATCAGATATTCTAGGCTATAGCCAACATGAGATGCCCCAACACTACAGAGAAACACTGGGTGACTATCCAGGCAGCCAACTGTTTCTGTCACTTCTTGTATCTTTCAGAAGATATTTGCCTGCACTTACTGCTTATTCAGGTAATATTTTCCTTCTCAGGTCTTTGATGGGGTTGAAGGTTAGAAAGTTACAGTTACAATGTCATATCTTAGCTAGGGCATATTAGGTACAAGACTTAGACTTTCCAGGATAGGACAGCTATTGGAATAATCTCTCTATAATTTGCCAGTTACCGATGAACTGGTCATTTAGTATGTATTTTTTGCTTAATTTTTGTTATTTTATTATTACATTTGTTTATTATTATGTTATTACTTTTTCTTTCTTCGGCACAATACTTGATAGTTGTTCCTATTGTAAATAGTTTTGTTAGGATTAGGACCTTCTTATTAGAAAAGAAAAAGGGGGGGAGTGTGAGATTTCTACCTGTTTAGCCAATGACTTCAGGGGCAGCAAGTCCTAGGGTCTTTACCTGCCTACATGACAACTTATAAGCTGAGAGAGAGGGTATCTCACTCTCCTGCTCCTGCACACTCTTTTCTGGCTTGCTGGTGGTGCTTCTTCACCCCTGGGTGAAGGTAGCTGGAACAGCTACCTTTACCAGAGAACTTTACCAGACTCTTGTGGGATTCACACTACCATAGGCAAGTGCTCTATCAACTGAGCCACAGCCCCACCCATCAGCTTTGCTTTTGTTTTGTCTTGGTTTGCTTTTTGCAGTGCTGCAGAATCCAGCCACAGCCTTGCACATCCTAGGCCAGTGTTCTCCCACTAAGTCACACCTCTAGCCATCAGCTTCACTGTAAACATATGATGCAGATTACATAGTGACATCTCTGCTCTGTGCCAAGAGCAAGTACCCAATGCAGTTAAAGACCACGATACTTTTCTTGTAAAGACATAGAGCCTTGGTGTAGAACCCTGCCTAATAATAAAAATTCAAATTAAAAAGTGGATTACATAGCCAGGCGGTGGTGGCACATGCCTTTAATCTCAGCACTCCAGGAGGCAGAAACAGACAGACCTCTGTGAGTTTGAGGACAGCTTGGTCTACAGAGCGAGTTCCAGGTCAGGCTTCAAAGCTACACAGAGAATCCCTGTCTAGGAAGACCCCTCCCCCCCAAAAAAAGTGAATGACAAAGGCATTTGCCACAGAAAGCCAAAAATGTCCTCACATGACAGCTCACAAATAGTTCAAGGGCTTGTCCATAAGACATGGAGAGAAACCTGGGCCTTCAAAAAGTTGCAATACCATGTCTATATGTCTATATATATATTTAATATACAAATTTCTAGATGTACCAGGCACTGTATGAAGCACTGTGAGACAGATCTCCTGCCCTGCTAGAGTATGTCTAAAGAGAGAAGACAAGCAGCAGAAAAAAAAGGAAGAAAAAAAAAAAAAAAAAAAAAAAAAAAAAAAAACAGTAAATCACAGCATTGTAAAAAATGTAACCAAGAAGAGGTGACACTGGGAAGGGATTCCAGTTTTATGAGAGATGGGCAAGAAAAGGCTCACTAACAGAGTTTACAGTTGAGCCAAGGCTTAAAGGAGGTAATGGAGCAGAACAGGCCACAGTCTCAAAAGAGAACTTCAGGCAGGGGGAAAAAAGCAAGACAAAAGCCATGGTGAGAACCTGTCTCATGTGAATGAGGAACAAGCTCATTTGAAAATAATTGACTGAGGTGAAATTGCAGTAAAGTGGCCAAAAATGGGTCAGATCATAGTAAGCCTTTAAGATAACTTGGGATGGAAGAGAGAGAAAGAAGCCAATATAGGATTTCAGGCAAAAGAAAGAAATACAACTCACATTTAAAAAAAATTACTGTGGCTGTTGTGCTCACAGTATTATAGGCAGAAAGGACAAAAGACAATTAATAGAAAGATAACCAGACATCACATATAATCCCAGCACTTGAGAGACTAAGGCAGAAGGATTGCCAAGAGTTCAAGGCCAGTCTAGGGTATGTAGCAAAATGATAAAGTCACAAATGCCATTGCATTTCTTTCTATGAGACTTAAAATAGATTAAAAAAATTAAAAGGCCACATATTAAAATATGTTAATCTAGTGTTGAAAATGGATGGGATGTACACTGTTGGAAAAGTTTATGTTAAACAATTTAAATAAGGAAAGCTGACAAACATCACTTGTCCTATTAGCTTAGCAATTCTTATTTCCCATGATGAAAATGGTACACATGATTTACGAATCACCGATTTAAAGTGTATCTCTAAAGCTATGCTGTATTGTATCATATGAAAGAGCTCTACATATTATGCTTACTCCTAGTAGTGATTGTAATAGATTTATACCCCTAATATTAATTCAACTAACAGTTTATGGACAATGTCAAAAGGTATCACAAGGCTCAGAATATCAAAATAATTACCTGAGAAATTACTTCACACTAGGAAGGGGTGAACTGTTCTGCTAGTAAGTACCATTAATCAATCACCATTTGAAATAACTATTTGATCTCTACAGGTATTTTGTACCTTAAAGAAATAATTTATTCACTTTTGAGTTATCAGGCTTCAATTAGAGGCATCAAGCAACTAAAACCTACCAAATATTAACATGATACAATAAATGTTTAAATATTTTTAATTTAAAAAAACACAGGAAAAAACTAAGCAAGGTATTGACAAGGAAGAAATATTAACTATTGATATTTTTTATCAAGTTAAAAAAAAAGTAAGGCAAATGTTTTGGCTACCATTTATAACCAAAGCAAGTCAAAGGCTTTGAAAACTGCATTCTTGTCTAATTGTCTCTAGAGGGTACCTTTATATGTAACTAAAGAGTTCACGATTATAACACTTCAAAATTTAGATGACTCATGGTTGGTGTTTTCTTCGCAGAAATTGGATGTCAATCAAAATTGTAACCATGCACTTGCTTGCTAGTCAAAACTGTTAGTGAATACATAAGCACAAAATTCGTGAAGTGTTTTTAATTTAGTTGGTTCCCAATTGCTAACACAGTTCAGTAAATCTGCTCTATGCCATCTCTCCTTCAACATTCCAAAATTACAGAAGACTTGTAATCATTCCTTTTCCCACCATTTCGTCTGTGGTCTTTAGTGGCAGTTACTAGGATTTACCACATCAGGGCCCATGTTTTTTTTTTTTTTTTTTTTTTAAGGCTTATAAGAAGGTAAAAAGAACCTCTGAACGAGGTCCTAGAGAACTCCATCTTTTGCATCTAAATCTAGACCCTGAAAATGAACCACAACAACAGAGGAAAAAAAAAACCTCAAATCTTGTCAACTCAGACACCCACCGGCACGGGTAGCATTAAACTGAAAGCAAAGGCAGGGAATGTCGTTCAAGGAACTCATTTTAAAAGTTTGCAATGAATGAGTCAATGACTGCATAATGGAGAGGATGGCTTCACTAAATCCAAAACCTCCAAAGAAGGGATCAAGGCACCATGGCTGAAACAAACTCAAGAGTAAGTGGTTCCAAACAGCAGGTGCTTGCAAGCCTCCACCTAGCTGCTTGACATTCGGAAGTCTCACACATAAACTCCTGAGAGCCAGGGACCTGAGTCAGAAAACCGGCTCTGCTCACCCAATAGCCTATGCATTAAGGTGGACATAACCTACATCTGAGTCCCGAGTAATGAGGACAGTAACCCCAGGCCAAGCAGGAGGGCACCAGAACGCCTTGCACTGCCCCGGACCAGAGACCCTGTCAAGGAGAGGGACAACTGCAACCTGAGGCAGGTAAGCCACCCGGATCGTGCGGACCGGCTGGCCAAGCCCCTCCACAGCCAGCCGGCTCCGACGCTTCGGACCTGGGAAACGCTCAAGGCCAGGTCCTTCGGGAGCCGGGCGCCAGGCCAGCAAAACCCGCAGCAGGTTAAGCGCCCTGCCTGCCTCCCGCGGCGCCCCGGCCCTGCCGCCACATGCTCCACCGCCGGCCTGCAGCCCAGCCCAAGAACTCGGCTTCCGCCGCCCTCTCCCCCGTGGCCGCCGCGGCAGGCGACCCCGATGTGTCGGCTGTCCACCCAGCGGCTGCCCGTGGACGGCTAGCCACGCCGCATAGCTTACCTCACTTCTGCCACAGGCACAACCCGCACGGCTGCCTGACGTGGCCCACGCACCACCTCCACCACCCAGGGCGGAGCCTTGGAAAAACAGCCAATGAGAGACCGAATTCAACAGTTAGTCCCACCTCCTAGACTAGGGCTCCCGCCCCGTTCGTGCGCCTGCGCGTCCAGGCTTAGGCGGCGCTTTGCAGCTGGCTGGTCGGCTGTGTCGGTTGCAGAGGTGCAGACTGAAATTGGCGCTCAGGCAGACGCTGTGGAGCGTGATATCCTGTCTGGAAATGCCTTTGCACAGAGTCAGTGGGTTCTATTGGAAGCCTGACCCAGGGCAGCTTTGAGATGTAGGGCAGCTTCTTGATATTTGGAGAGTTTGTAAAGCGGGAGGGAGGGGGTAGGGTAGGGGCAGAATACTGATAATGCCAAGGGTTCAGAAATTGTAAAGCAGTCAGCTTGCTTCCTGTACCTACTGCTCAGTGCCTTAATTTAACCATGCTGTGCTTGCTGGTCCTTCTTCTTTTAGAGTCGTCAAGGCCCAGGAATTTCTGCTGATTTGATCTAGAAAGAACTGTTTCAAAGAACTTTACTATGTGTGTTACTGTTATCTAACATTTATTGTAGTCAAGCATTTTCTTTAACGAAATGGCGAGAGGTGATCCCACAGAAGTCTGTGAAACGTGGCACAACGCAGCAGACACAAAAACTTTAAAAAATAAAGTCGTTAAAAGGGGTTGAAGTCTACTACCTGGCTGTTTCTGAAACCCCGTGCAAGTTTTGAAGCCCTGGGAAACTTTAAAAGAAGCCCAGGCGCCATCTCTAGAGATTCTAATTTAATAGTTCTATCTTAGGAACTTAGCAAGCGGTTTTCTAAGTTAAATTTGCAAGGTCATTGTGATATGTTAACAGCAAATTCTTGGTTCCTTATATGGCACCCCAGAAAAGTAATTATATTCCACAGACCACCTCTAGATCTACCAATAACTTCTAATGCTTTCATTCTGTAAGAATTTATCTAAATTAATTTTAAACCTGCTTCTGTATTCAATCTATTTTGTCCTGGGGAAGATTGGAATTCTGTGAGGTTTATAATTGCCTTTTTTGTTTTATTAGTTTGATGATACTCCCTTCAGTTTTCCAAATACACAAGTACAAATTCTAGGAACCTTTTAATTTTTTTCTTTTTCTATTCCTGTATTTCTGTTGTTTCAAGACAGGGTCTCACTTTGTAGCTCTGGCTGTTCTGGAACTCTCTATGCAGACCAGGCTGGTCTTAAACTCACAGAGATCTGCCTGCCTCTGCCTCCCAAGTGCTGGGACTTAAGGCATGCACCACTACACCTGGCTTATTCCTGTGTTTCTTGTGGCTTGTTGATCCTAATTGCGCATGTTAATATGTCCACAGCACTATTTTAAAGATTTCAATTTATTTCATTTGCAGAACAAATTAAATAGCAGAGTTATTACATTTTACAAATAAAGAAACCTAGGCACAAAGTGTGAAACAATTTGATCAAGGCTATGTACCTAGCTGATAGCAAAGCCAAAATTTGAACCCAAACACCATGCTCTCAAAAAATAGTCTGCTTCTACAGAGTGGTTAGTTTAGGACATTGTGGGGAAACACTGACTCTTAAAGAATGGTTGTGAGTCTACATTTAACATATTCATAGCCCATTCATGCCTTAGCCTGGGTGAATATATTGCAAATAGCAGAAATATATTCCTTATTCTATAGGCTAGAAAGCCCCAGCAAGGAACAAGCAGATTTGTCATCTGGTGGGGCCTTGCTCCATAAATAATATCTTCTCTGTGTCCTCAAATGGCAGAAAGACTAAAGACTCTCAAAGCCATTTTGGTTTCTTTTTTGTTTCTCCATAATGATGCTGAAAGACCACACTGGGGACTTCATGTATTCTGAGCATGTGCTCTGACACTATCTAGAGCCCTCTCCCCTTCCAACCTTTCTTCCTACCCCATATCCTCCTCTCCCAAGCTCACATCCAAAGCACTATGTAGCTGAGGTTGACTTTGCTGCATAATTCTCTTCTCTCAGCCTGTCACGTGCTGGGGACATGCTTCATCAGGCCTGGTCAAACCTCTCTTATAATGACACTAATTCCATCCATGAGGGTTGAGCTATCATGGTCTCATGACCTCCACGTGCATCCTCTCTTTCTCTCCCTCCCTCCCTCCCTTCCTCCCTCCCTCCCTTCCTCCCTTCCTCCCTCCACACCACCAGTCCCCTACCACACTGGGGATAACCCAAGACTTTGCATGTGCTAGGCAATTGTTCTACCATTGAGCTATAGCTCCAGCTCTTGTGAGTCTACATTTAACATATTCATAGCCCATTCATGCCTTAGCCTGGGTGAATATATTGCAAATAGCAGAAATATATTCCTTATTCTGTAGGCTAGAAAGCCCCAGCAAGGAACAAGCAGAAAGGCCATGTACCCTGGCCTTTAGCTTTCAACATAGGAATTGCAAGATTGAAGATGCAATCCAGAACTGTATGGAGCCAAATAACCCCCAGAATTCAACTTAGCAGCCAGCACATTGACAAGACCAAAGGTATACACTTTAAAACAAGGAGTGCAGAAGTTTTCAAAAACAAACTTTTCATTAGCATGGGACTGAAATAGATAAGTCATGTACTAAGCTAGAAAACTACTTTTTTCCAGCGACTGCTTCTCACCCAGCACATCCCCTTCCCCACCTGCCAGCACAAACACATGGATCTCTCTATGGCGTTCTGACTGGATTCAAATTTGCAATCTTCCTGTCTCATCCTCCCAGGTTGGTGATAAGGGTTGGAGGATGCAGAGAGTGCGGTTTACTTTTTTCCAGAAACCTGTAGAAGATGGTCTAGATTTCACACCAGCTTTAATAGAAATAGCCATTAAGTAATCAAAATATGTTTCAAATGTGTATGCTATTGTATGCTTCTCATTTATATGCAAATGAGTGCTTTGCTTTTTTAAATGTCTTATCACATTTATTTATTGTGGTGGAGGTGGCTTGCATGTGCCATTATGTGAGTGTTGAGATCAGAGAATAAATTGTAGAAGTCAGTTCTCTCCTCCCACTATGTGGTCCCCAGGATTGCACTCAGGTCATCTGGCTTGGCGCCAAGTGCCTTTACCTGCTGAGCCATCTCCCCAGCCCCTCCCTACTTGATTATTTAATCAAGACTATATCTACCATCTCTAAGAAGTAGGCAAGCAGACAGTATTTCTCCATTAAATGCCTTGGATTCTTTCCCATGACATAGTTAGTCAGTTAGTTCTCCATTGTGTAAGACCCTTCAGATAAGTAGTTTTTGAAGCTGGCATAGAAGGGCCTATTGACTCTCACAACAACGAAAAAGACAAAAAGAAAAAGAAAGGAAAAAAAAAAAGAAAGGGAGTAAGAAAAATGTGTCCACTCCCAAATCATTAGCAGAACTGAAAAGAATATGCTAACAAAAAAAAGACACTGTAGTCTGAATCCCGACTGTAAAGAGAGGTCATGTCACCCACAGCATCAAGGGAGTCACAAAGCCTTGAACTTGCACCCAAGCATGCTGGGCTGACTGAGCACGCCCACACATTCATCTGCAGGCTCGGCACTGAGAGGAGAAATTCACTATTGAGTCACAGAGAGCCGCTATCAGCACATAACAGAAAGCAAACTCATTAGATTTAATTAGATGTATGTGGTTCCAATTGTCCCTGTTCCATTCCAAATGAAAGCCACAGTCCTTACACAGGCCAATTAGACCATATATCATTTACCTGCCCTGGACATTGTACCTCTATCCCCGTGACACACAGCATCACCTTGACTTTTCCTTCCACAGCCTCCAGCTCTCTGAACCCTATTCGCCCTGCTTCCTCACTCATGTAGCAGCTTGGCACTTCCCCCAGCTCTCCTCATGACTCATTCCTTGGATCATTCAGTTTTTTGCCAAGATGTTACCTTCTGGAGAAGGCCTATTCTCAGTCAGGGTCCCAGCAAGAAACAGATGGCATAATCAAATTAGGAAAATCGAAACTGTTTAATAAGGGACTAGAACAGGGCTCTAGGTAGAATTTTTTAAAGATCACAAGGGAGACTTAGTAAATGGGCAAACCCAAACCACCCCCTCCACACAGATAGTACAATAAGAAGAAACTGTGTGTGTAAGACTATCAGGAAGGAAGACATTTGCTCAAGAAACACCATAGACTCTTAACAGTGCAACAAGAAGGGGCTGAGAAAATTAAACTTCCCCTTTCCCACTTTCCTGGTCCCATGAAATTCACACAGGTCAGCTCCTGTGTTGCAATGGAAGGACAAAAAGAAGGTATCACCTCAATCACCTGTAACAGCTAGCTTTTTCTGTGTAACAGAACACACAGTCATAACCCTGTCTTCATTCTCGGGATCCTGTGAGCTGCCCAGGTGGTTCTTACAATCCAGGCTGGCCTTGCTAGCTCCTTCTGGGTCTGTTTATCTGTCTGCACTCAGTTTGGAGACTGGCTGATCTGGGATGCCCTTATTCACATGCCTGGTATATTGAGGAATGTGAGGTGGAGCAATAGGTATGAATCAGCCATGTGTATCTATTAACTGTAGCCAAACACAGTTGTTTTTTTTTTAAATAGGATTTATCTCAGTAGCATAGCACTTCAGTTCCCAGCATTGAACCGTCTTTCCATCCCTAAAGCCACAGGTTTTTAAAAGTCTCAAAGCCAGATATGAGATATCTCCCTATGAGTTTTATTAGCCCAGAAGGCCAAAGGAGACATGCTTAAAACAATACAGACTACTGACATTTTGAGGTTGAAAGCCCAAGATCATGTAGCCCCTTGATAATAGTATTATCTTATGTTCTAGAATTTCTACTTTACCAAGTATCACCAAGGAAATGAAATAAGAGTAGTTTTCCTTAGTTTTTTGTTTGTTTTGTTTTTTAATCCTTTGTCTTTTCATGACAGGGATTTTTTGTGTAGTGATGGCTCTCCTGGAACTCACTCTGTAGACCAGGATGGCCTCGAATTCAGAGATTTGCCTACCTCTGCCTCCCAAGGGCTAAGATTAAAGGTGTGAGCCACCAC